TTCGAAGCCTGCGAACCAGAGCTTGGCACTGATGATGGAAGTGGTGTCCCTTCCCAATGCGATGCTGATAATGTTGACGGTTCCCACTGCTCCTGTGCCGCAGCGCCATTCATTGAAGATGATCGCTCGAAAGTGCTCTTGTGGAATCGACATCATGATTAAAGTTAAAGAAGGCAACCCGGCAATATATACCTACTGCGGAGAAGTATGATCGACAGCGATAAGTCTATCACGTAGCAGATTCTAGGTATCGATCAATAAGCGAAAGTTCTGGAGCTTTCAAAAAATCGGCTCAGGACTTTTTTACCACCCCAATACATCCTACATTGCTACAGCACGCGCTTCGACTCGTCCGCTGACTCCGCTACCTTTTCGCGAGAAGGGCCTCTTGCCGTGTACCTCCGACTGACACACAATCCTTGCTACCGTCGAACCAGCAGAAGTCCAGAGCGTCACTTATGGGATGGGTCGGATTTGTGGGATACTGGATAGGATAAAATGAAATAGGCTTTTTGAGTCCTCATATATCGATCTGAGAATGCATACCGTAGCATCATAACAGGTCTATCTACACGGAGGCGTTCAGCTGATTCACAGTTGGCATGGAACTATTCACACTTCTGACTGTCTCACGACAATTTCGACCTTTTCTGAATGATAGACAATGGAAAAATGCTTTTGTTCCATTCTAGGAAAAACGCCATATTCATTACCAAAATGCTTGCGATTCACAATGCAGTGAACAGCTTATGAAACGGATCACGGCTGCTCTTGAGCAGGTATAAACTATGAGCTCAAGCGAGTTTTAGCCGATCAAATTGGAATTTATGGTATTTAAGGTTGCTTCGATATCCGACAAGTACAGAGAAATCGTGGACAAGCTGGTAAGAGAGAAGCTCATTTCGACGACACGGCATGAAATCAGCGTCGAAAGAAGCGCTGCGGAGAAGGCGGTACGCAAAATTCGCTAATTCAACTGTGCCTTTTTGCTTCTGTTTGAAGGCTGTGATCAGATGGGAGGAAGGCGATGCGAATTGGATGACGTCGTCGTACCTCATGTGGGGACCAGAGCCCTTAGCACGCTGGGTATGTGGCTCGGACCGCATCTTAAGGCAACAACCTCAGATTGGGTAATGAAAATCAAAAGTAAGCGTATGAAAACAAGGACAAGCATCTTTCTTTCTCTTTCGGAATGAGAAAAGGGCGTGCCTGGACTAGTTTTCCGAATTTGTTTGCTCCATGGCCCCGCTATACCGCACGAATTCGAACTACGCGCATCCACGATGCGTGTCACGGAGTGTGCGCAAGGTATCTCCTTGACTTCCTCACGAATGCTCTCATTAGCTCACTTTGTAAGGCCCCAGCGCCTTTATCATGCGGTTTTGAGTGGCGAAAACGCACTTCTTTGGTACTCGTGATCAACACTGTTCTACCCCGGAGCAGACGTTCCACCTGACCTCATCTGGGGTTGTTGCTTTAACGCCCTTCCACCAGTAAGGTCAATGACGTCATCAAAACCGCACCGCCTTCAGAATCGCAGTCACCGCCTTTACGGCATGTGCCCCTAACATTCGACTTTCCAAGATTTGGCTCACTCGATGACGTGCTACGCTACATTTCGACCCCCTTCAAGTTATGGAAATGACTTATAGCTGGGAGGTAATAGGCTATCAGAGAACAAGAGGTGCCCGGTGTACTTCCGGGCAATCCTACCATGATCAGCTGAGATTTGCAGCCCCACAGGATTGGTTACAAAACTAAGCCAGAGGAGAGAGATAATGGTTTGAGCATTGGTTTGGCTTCGCAATTTACCTTATAGGCCAGGTAGGCCTCAGATAGGTAATGGACAGAAATTTGGCATTGGTCAACCCTCTTTCGAAATGTTCCTCAGTGTTTGCTCAGAATAGTAGATGCAAATAAATGAGACTTGACCTATGCAATAGTTTACGAAGACCGTCGCATGTGCAAGTTCTATCCTTCGACACAAGCCCGTACTCAGTGCCGATCGCGGAGGGGTGTTAAGCTTGAGTAGCCTTAAAGGTAATCAGTTCGCGATTTGATCACTCGACGTCAAGTACGAAGCACTCTAGAGCAGATCAGTGAATGCCGATCTCCTCTTAGCCATGGGTTGGGATCAGGTGCCAAGAGCCGGTTCATCCTTGTATGAGGAAGTGGGGATCCCATGCACAGGAGTGGTGACCCTGTCCCACTAAAATGCGCTGTAGGTGTGCCAAGATCTCAAGTTGTGCAGTGCCGTCGCTGCCACTCTACCAATCGTGGACATGACGTCTGCGCCCTCTCACGTACGACGTGCTCTCTTGAGTTCTCCCTTTCCTGGCAGCCCTATGCCTTGCCACCTACAATGTTTTGCGTACGGGTGGCTACTAAATATTGGCGCATGGTTAATTGACCATATTTCCAAAAAGAGAATCTATTAAATCTTCAGAGGTTTATCTATACAGGGGTGGCCAAAAAAAGAGACACTTGCCCATGGCGCACATCATCGAACTTTTCGTCGCACAGGGAGCCGATGTTAATGAAAGTTTTACGGCGAATATTCCTTAGGTGTTCCCCCGTAAACAGAAGCAGGCCCTCCTTCACTGCCCCGCCGTCTTCAGAATATGACGTCATCTGCCGTCACCGTCGAGCTCAACGAGGCTTACCGTAATCGCTCCGCCTGAAGCTGCTACATAATTTCTTCAATGATTAACTGTTGAATAGCTTCCCAGAGACATTAGCTGTGACTATGCAAAACCGCTTTTGACCAGCGTTTCAGAGACGTCGTAATCGTCTATGGTATCTCGACGACCTCGTTGAGCTCGTACCGTGCACAATGCTTCCGTGGGAAAATCTTCTGATGTCGTCGGTGTAGAAGGCTGTTGTGTAGCTTGTTGATAGATTATAACGTGCTCTTCAATATTCAGTTGGGGTCATTTGGTTTGGTTTCGCGACGCGTAAATAATTCCGTTTTGAATGTTGAGTGAAGTGTCTCTTTTTTTTGGCCACCCCTGTATATACAGTGGAACATAACAATTCATTACTAGAGAAGATGCTCGGAAAGAAGTCCTCCGGCGGCGATACAGGCTTCAAGTCTCTTCTCAACTGACATCACCGTGGGCCGCAAGCAGTTTTCGTCGAGTTACTTCAACGCTTCCTCCTAGGAAGCCTTCAGGAAGTCCAAACTTCGATGTTGCCTAGAAGGCATCTTCTGCTGCAGGAAGCCCCACACCGCAAAATCCATTGGGTACAATCGGGTGAGTTAGATGGCCAAACATCTGGTGACCAGTAACCTGGAAAATGGCGGTCACAGAACACCAGCGTAGATTTTGCGGCATGGGGAGGCGCCTAGTCTTGCTGAAGAATGCACTGACATTTGCTGGAGGTCGAAACAGTCCATGGAACGAGCACATCACGTAAAATTGTTTCCTGGTAGATCTGGGCGTTAATTTTGACGGATTTGTCCACAAAGACAAGCGGTGTCTCGGTGTCGGAAGTAATTCCTGCCTAAATCATGACAGATTTTGGAAATCGGCTCCTTGTGTGCGCACGACGTCGAGCAGAATGCCTGCTAGCCGGATCCAACAATTGCCTGTCCTTTTGAGAATTGTGCGCCAATTCCAGTGTGATGATCTTCTCGCGTCACGTTGACGTCACTTACTTGCGGCCCACGGTGATGTCAGTTGAGAAGAGACTTGAAGCCTGTATCACTGCCGAGGAGGCCATTTCGAGCACCTTCTTCAGTGATGCATTGATATGTTTTACTGTATATAAAAATAAACTTCTGAATATGTAATAGTTTCTCTTTGCAAAAATATGGTCAATAAACCATGCGCCAATATTTAGTAGCCACCCTGTAGGAGTCAGGGTGAAAATCGTGTCGAGTACGTGGTCGCAGAAGTACGACCCCCCCCCCGAAATCGAGATCCTGGCACGACCCCCTAAAACAGAGCAAATTAATTCAATTAATTAATCAAAAAAATCCTGCAAAATAATGTTATGGACGCCTCATCTTGTCATCTATGCACTGTCTTTCATCGCTGCACACTTTTGTGTATTTACTGAAATATCGACTCGAGGAAAGAGGCATTAACTTTGTGTGACCTCAAAGTCAGGTTCGTTCAGAAATGCACAGAAATCCTGAAGGCACGGGGTTGCGATTTAGTCAGCACACGTTTAATGCCTGCGTTGGGAGTATATCGAAACAGCCGAGTGTATCAATCAACGGCCGATTTCAACGGCAGCTGCGGCGCGATTGTCACTGGGTCAGATTTGCTGAAATCCCGAAAAAAACCGTCGAAATCTACACCCTCGATGAAAAGGTTGCATTCCTCCATTTCATAACCTTTGAAGCAGTTTGAGGTAGGGTTAGATAGAGCTGGATTTTGCGTTTCCAAGAAGTATTGAAATTGCTCTGAAAGTCTTCCATGCAGAAAGATAGGGTCATGGCTTTCAATGTGGCGTCGAGGTAAACGTCCGAGTGAGCTCTGAAATTCACAGCGAATTTTTTGCCTTCAGAGCCAAGATCCTCTTAAAAGGTGAGATCTGAAAAGGAAGATAGTTTGGGAATGGGAAGGTTTTCCTTTCTATGGTTCTTTTCTAGGGAAGATGAAGGTGAAGGGCATATGATGAGACAGTATAATGGGTATGTGGTTTCAGACGCTGATCTCGAATCTTCTTCCCAAATCTGCCAAACGATTCGCTGAACGGAGTTACGGAGGTTTTTTGTTCTCTCACACAGTTTAACATAGTGAGAAATGAGGCCTCAGCAGCAGCGGCTTGTGAACGAAGCAGTGAGCCTCGATCGTGTGCTGGTGGCCTGGTGGGTAAGTGTGTGGGTTGGATTGGGTCAGTGTTTGATCTTCCTTGGTTTTCATTTGCATTTTTGTGACTGACTCTTTGGCAGTAGTGAAACATGATTCCTTTATCATTATTCAGCCCTACTTGCTTTTGAATGAGTCTGAAGTCGATAACTTCGAGATTTTTCCTAACTTGCATCCCACATAAGGTTAAGGCGCCAGTATACGGAGCGTGCGCTTCAGCCGTTTTTGAGTGGACGAATGTGAAATCTGTGTTCAAGCAGTCCAATAACTCCTGGGCCGATTTCTAGAAAAATTCGAGATTTTGAATTAATTCAAAAAAGTGGGCGAGTCACTCATTGATGCTACATATCCATAGCCGGTAGTTCCAGGGTTGACCTATTTTGGACGACGGCGACCCTTTAAATTTGAAAATAATAAAATGTGAGTGTTGAAATCATGCTAACAGAAAACCAGACACTGCTTTACACTCTTCAGAAACCAAAAAAACGTATATCGTTTCAAGGCTATGTAGGCTTCGATAATAGGCTGATGGATGAATGGATAGATACCACCCACCTTATTTCGAAATTCGGTCGAAATTTCAAATTTGGCTACAAACTTGTCCTAGGGGTATTTTAATCTCCGGAACACGAATATCACACTTGTTTGCTGCAAAAACGTCTGCCAAGAGTTCTGTGGGCTCCATGTGCAGTCTTAGTGAGTACCGCAGAAACTGATTAGAAACTCTTCGCAAAGTCTTTGCACGGGTAACTACAGGCAAGCATTGATCGAGTAAGGTAGCTGGGAGCCTTTTCATCATTTTGCAGCGAAGGCAAAAAAGAGAACCCGCCAGGGAATCGATCCTACGACGTCTCGCACGTGAACCCGGACTACTACCGCTGCACTACTTTCCTTCATAACTGCATTCGGATTGTTTGAGATTTGGAAGCGTTTCGAGATCGGTGCACCCAAAACAGCATCAACAGTGTAGGGTTTCTTTATTATGGCCACTTCGGGATCGAATCATCTGATTCCTTCTTAGCTTTCTTCTACATTTCCTAGTTGAGAAGATATCTGCGTCGAGTATGTATCGAGGACGGATCCGGCCACCTGAAAATCCGCTCCCTCTTCACCATTGCAAGTGTAATTGTTGG